AAAAAAAAAAAAAGCTGAACAAGCTTTTATAGAAGGCCAGCTCTTTTCTAGGAGCTCCTCTGGAACCTCTGGAGATTATTTCACAAAGAAGAATTCACCATAAAGTGATGAACACTGTGGACAACAGTGAGCATCCTCTTAAGAAGATTTTTAAACAACATCAGAGTCTTCAGTAAGAAGCTTCTCCAGATCCGGTGAAAGAAAGATCGCTGCACAAGATCCTTCTTACCTATAACACCTGTTAAAAAAAATAACTTATGACTTACTGCAACATTTAATTTCCCTTTTGGATTAATAAAGTTATATGAATTGATTTGATCCCTTCATGGCTCAAATGTCCAGGTAAACAGTTGTCCTGTTTTTTATTATTAGTAGTCGTTTGCAGTTAATTGAAATCAGAGTAAAATAAAATAAAAACTGTTGTATTGACATACAACTAAAAATTTTAAGTTTTCCTTTGTTTAAGTCAGAACTAAAACAGCATGTTGTCAAAATGAACACTGTCCAGGTGCATCTTCGAACTGGACCCAGAAAATGCTGCTGCTCTTTGGCCGGCCAAACAGGTGGAGCTTCCAGCCAGAGGAGTCTCTGAGAAGGCCCTGGACCCAATGATCAGCAGGATGGAGTTGGCTCTGCACTGCCGGAAGAGGATGGGGTGTAGAGGAGACAACGAAAAGGATCTACACATTCATCAGGTGGTTTCTGAAAGTTACAGGTTCCTTAAAATTACAGATTCAAAGAATAATAATAATTATAAGAGCCAACCCGAGAGGGAGTACACCATCTCTTAATTGGACAGTCTGGAAACAAGAATGATTCGCTGGCATGAGGACCCCTTGAGGTCTCTTATCCAGACAGGTTCTAACTCTGGAACGAAAGCCAGTTTTCTGCTGGCAGACCTCACAACCACTTGATATCCAGCCGTTTTCATACAGGGAACAATTTCTCTACATGTGTGGCGACACACTCCTGTGTCACACAGGAAAGAAATGAATTTCCCAATGACTAATAAAGTAATTTCTGGTTTAGCCACTTCCGTGGCCAATATATCCTGGAATTTCAAATGACTCTCAACCAAATCAGGTGGCTCTGCTATGTCTGGCTGGACAGGTTCTGGCTGTGAGGGCCCAGAACCTAGTCCTGCTGATGTAAACCGGTCAAGCTTAATTTCAGGACAGTCTCAGGCCAAATGCCCTTCTGCACCTCCTCCTTCTCTGTGACCTTGTCTAAATCCTTTCCCTCTGTAAAACACCTTTCCTCTGCCTCCCTGATAATAAACATCCTACCCCTCACCATGATAATAAGCAGCAGCAGCATGAAGACCCTGCTAGTAAGCTGTGACCGCTGCCCCCGCCTCTCTTTTCCTTCACCACATGTCCCCGAGGGCCCAGTCCAGACACTCCTCTAACTCTTCATTATTTTTATTCTTATCTTTGTATTTTATTTAGTATTTTTTTTACTGCTATTTCAATTCATTTAAATCCCCTTCAAAAGCCATATTCTTTAACCTATTTTTTTAAGTATTTAAATTTATCTGGTTCTTGCTGATCAACAAACTTCCAATCCTTACATTGGAGTTTGTCTCCAGATTTACTTTGCCCCTTTCCCATTTTGAACAATTTAGTCCAGTCTTTTTAACACATAGGGTGTTCTACAGACTGGGATGTGTTCACCATGGGGTAACAATAAAAATACCTGTTGTGGTAATTATCACTTCTACTCTTTCAAGTGGAGAATTCTTGCTAAAACATCCACTAGAGGCTTGTTACTTACAGTCCCCTCAGTGGCGCCTCCAGAAATGTTTCATATCGGTGACCAAATGGGGCCACTAAAAATCTTGGGGTGGCACACTGAAACTAAGACCAATAATTCCAGGGTTTGAATATACTATTGTG